GCCTATGATGATGAGATGGACGTTTTTTAGTTTTGTAATAATAAAATTATAAATACGTAAAAACAATACTAAAATTGTTAAATAGTCTTTTTATATGGACTAAAAACTAAAACCGTAAATTTTGGAATCATAGGGTACAATTTATCAATTTTCTAAAAATTGAATTGAAAATACGAATATAATCAAACCATTGCACCATTTCTGTAATTTACTCATTCAATTATTTTCCATATAGAAATTGATACACTTGTATACATCCGCCATTTGTTAATTTATGTTTAATGAGAGGAATATAAGCACAAATAGTTAATCACTTAATTGTAGCACTGTAGAGAGGCTCTAGTGGTCGGTAAAGAGTGGTTAAGATTGGCGGTTAGCCTTTGGCCTGGAATACAAATTTTAATATAATATTCTAACAATATTTTAATTTTTTTAATAAAGGAGAATTTCCGAAGTTGTTCACGATGTTGATGGAAGACAAGTAGATGTCTATTCTTACATTCCATGTGTTATTCTCTTTTGGCCACCCTCATAACCTCATTGAAGCCCCTTACAATTTGAACTCAGATCACCTATAAAGTTGTGTTTAGTGTTTTACGAGTTGAAGTATAGCAAGTCTAAAACATATAAGAGACTTGATTCAATACTAGCAAACTATATAGCATGTGTATTCATATATTATAAAATCATTATCTTTTGTCAACTAGAAAAATATAATATGTACTTATTTATATTTTTGATGCCATATCAATCATTGATTTATCATTCTTACAAAACATAGTTTTTTTATATAAATTTTTGTTTTTGCATGAAAAAGTATTGGCTTGTATTTTAACAGAAAGCCCCTTCAAAAAATAAATTACTAAATAATCCTGTAAATAAAATAACACCTACGAAACCGGGCCAATAAATTAAGGGAAATAAAATATGACTTACAAGACAGAAGCAAAACCAAAAAGAAAAAATAGACCGACACATGAATTGTCATGAAATAAAAAGCCTACTTTTTTTATTATCCATTTGTCCCTAATGTAGTTAAAAATATGCTTATAACCTATAAAATACAAAATTTGTTTGGATTGTATATTCTTAAGGTATTTAATTTGCTTGAATTATTTATGAATATGTTATCCCAAGAAAATGAAAGCACTAACTGTTAAGCTCATTTGTCTAGAGTTGCAAATAAAGCAAGGGTTTGGTTATTACGCTCCCTATTACAATAAATGGTCAACTAGTTAAGTACAAAATTCACATGTATTGCCTGGATTCAAACACCCCAAAAATCTGCAATCACATGTCCATTGTTTTACTATGTCAACGTCAATTTCTTTATTATTATTATTATTTATTTTTATTTTTTTTTACATCTAACACAAATCTATAACGAAATTCATTTGCAACTAATTTTAAAATGTCTAACTAAAAAAATTCTAAACTGACAATATCAAAGTTATAATTGCATTAAACTGGTAATTACAGTAAATGAAAATGTTGCATTAAAATGGGTCGACACATGCTCTTGTTTCTCACAGTTTTTGGTTCTTTTTTGAATTTACTCTAACGTACTATACCATTCTACGCCACTAATACACTAAAATACTTGAATTGAAAATATTAAAAACGAAATATTACCATTTTTCCCAATTGTTCCACATATGAGGTCCATAGTTTAAACATGGACATATCCAAAATATTACTGGTTTTTTGGATTGAACATGAGCCTTGGGATGAGTTGCCATCAAATGATAGGGTTTATTGTTTTTTGTACCATGATTTTTGCATTGTTCTTTGCAAGTATTCAATTTATTCGAAACTTTATATTTTTAGTGTTATCCCTGCCAATAGATAAATCTTCCATACGTTCAGGTATGGATGAGCTTGGTTTCGAACAGTAACGATTTTTTAAACGGATATTTGTAGGACTGAAATATAAGATCTGGTACCACTTTGGGTTATGAGCAAATGGTGAAATTACAAGTTTTAATGTACAGCCAAAATGCTAATGTTGAACATAATCATTCATAAACAGTAAAACCATTCGTGAGTTTTCAACTCTTGAAGGGTTGAATTCTTAAATTGAGACATTGGTTTTGGCTTTTTCACTGATCAGTAAAATTCTTACGGAATTTTGAAAGGTTTAGGGTGCGTTTGGTTGTGGAAAACTGTTTTCATTTTCTATGAAAATGTTTTCAGAAAATAACATTGAGTTTTCATTTTCAATTTTCAATTTCCTAGAAAACTAGAAAATTTTCCACAACCAAACACACTATTAGGCTTTGAATATGAATTTTCTGTTTCAGAGATGTTTGGGGCGATTTCTTTTATTTGCAAGAAATTAGGAAATAATTGTCATAGAAATATTCTAAATATTCAAATTTAGAAGGTGACATTTGGGTACCCAGTTCAGTTCGGGTATTTCAAGAAAAAGGATAGCCCGATATCAAAAGTTCCAAATTCCGAGAAAGGCCAAACCGGTTAGTGAAGTTTAAAGTTTGAATATGGTTCGTCGTTGCTTTTGTCAAAATAAATAAATAAATAAATAAAAAGGTGTTGTTGCTTGCCCTTTCGGGTACCAAATGTAGGGAAAATGACTCTTGACGGTAATTAACTTTTGTGTTTGTACTCATTTGATCCATTTCCTTTTTTTTGTATTCAATATACTATCGAACTTGTTGTTTGCGTTCACCATAACCCTTTTGACATGTGATAGCCGGTCAAAGGGTTATGGTGAACACAAAGAACAAGTTCGATGGTATATTGAGTACAAAAAAAAAAAAAAAAAAAAAAAAAAAAGGAAAGGGACCAAATGAGAACGAACTCAACAGTTAATTACCCTCCTGAGTCATTTTTTCCGAAAATTTAAATGAAATTAAAGTTGCAAAATTATCAAAGATTGCAACCTTCTTTAGCTATAACGTATATGAAGAGCGTTTCAAAGGGGTAACCTTGTTAAAACATGATCTACATTATGTTTATTGTGGATAGCTGTCAACACCTCTCTGCAAAAGGATATGACTGTGTATGAGAGGTATATTTATCAACATAAACGTTTATCTCAAGGTATATTATGGTGATGTATCTACAAAAGCAGTATTATATTGTACATATTGATGTTGTATCTTATCCCATGAATTCGATCTTAAAGCTAAGTAAACTAAAAAATCACAGCACTTGTGATTCCACTCGTTTGTAGACTTGTTTAGAATCCATGATACAATAAATCATTTGATTGGAAATGTAAATGTAGTCATGAAATGCGTCTGCTAGTCAAGATTTCCCTAATAAATATTCAAGTGTATTACAAGGTTGTACATGTATGAATAATGTTCTTTCGTGGATTATGTTTTGAAGAGAAGCAAGAATGAATCTCATAAAGTTATTAATATCAGTAGGGGATGACGTGAGATTTGCTATAAATGAGTAAAGGAAAATGAATCAGGAGGGTAACCAACTGTTGCATTTGTTCTCATTTGGTCCATTTCCTTTTTTTTTGTACTCAATATACCATCGAACTTGTTGTTTGTGTTCACCATAACCCTTTGACTGGCTATCACAGGTCAAAAGCTGGTCAAAAGGGTTTTAGTGAACGCAAACAACAAATTGAATGGTATATTGAATACAAAATACAAAAAAAAAAAAAAAACCCAAATGAGTACAAACGCAAAACTTAATTACCCTTAAGAGTCATTTTCCCCCAAATGTAAACAAAGAAAAACGGGGAAGGTCAAAACAGTCAAACATAGAAATATTACAAATCAAGACAATGGCCATTTTTTTGGGGTCATATGATAGGAGTTGCAGGTGTATTGGGCGCTGCTTTGCTATGCGTTATTCATGGTACTACCGTAGAAAATACTTTATTTGAAGATGGTGATGGGGTAAATACATTTCGTGCTTTTAACCTAACTCAAGCTGAAGAAACTTATTCAATAGTCAATGCTATCATTTAACTTGTTAAATATATATATATATATATATATATATATATATATATATATATATATATATATATATATATTATTATCATCTATTATAATCTGTGAATACATATATATTTAACTAGTTAAATAGTCAAATATGTATAGAAAAAAAATTGTTTATATATGAACAATTTTTTTTTACAATTTTGTTAAAAAAATTTATAATTTCTTACAATGTTTTTATGCTTTTTTTTTATAGGTTTTTCTAATACAATGTTTTAAACTTTGTTAATAATTTTTTTAAAACTTTTCTTTATATTTTCATATAATTTTAATTCAAATGTTTTAAACCAAATATTTTTATGAATATTTTAAATTTTTCTTACAATTTTAACTTGTTTTTTTTTTACATTTTCTTACAATTTGTTTATAGCTTTCATATATTTATTTCTAAACGTTTTTTAACAATATTTTTAAAATGTTTTATAGATTTTATATGAAAATTCAATATTTATATATAACATTTTAAAATACTTTCATTAAATTTAAAACGTTGTATTAAAAAAATTAAAAGTTTATAAACTTCTAATTAAAAAGTATTCAAAAGTTGAAATAATCTTAAAACATTTACATTGCATAGATTTTTTTTATTTTTTTATTTGCTAAGTAATATTTTTTTTTTTTAATTTTTTCCCCTATTTTTTCCATAGAACAAATAAAGGATCTTTGACAATTTATTCTATTGCGTCCATTTTAACCTTACTGCCCAATAAATTTTTTGTATGCTGCCCAACTTTAGCGACTCTAAATAAATTTTTTGATAAACAGTGATCAAACTCAAAATATTTAGCGACTTTTTTGTATGCTGCCCAATAAAATACTCATAGTTAAACAATAAATGTATCATAGAAAACTGCATAAATAAAAATGAGATTGCAATTTTCATTCCACAATGAAATGAAAAAACACCCTAAGCTAACAAGACAAAAACTACCAAAATAAAAGCGATCACATTATTTGAGATATGGCCCCATTCCATTTCAAACGTTATATTCCTTCCAAATTTCATCATCCCAAACACTATGATAGTTTCCTTAGAGAGCAAAGGGAAATCCAAGAGCCAAGATAAATCAGATAAAAAAAACTACACATGGTCCATAATTCCCGTGTCATTTTTCTAACACAAATATAAAAATTGTTGGAATAATATAACAAACAGACAAACAAACAAACGCCTTGTCACACAAGTTATGTCTTAAAACACAGGTACGTCTAGTAATAGTAGTAGTAGTAAGATTACTTGTAGAAATCAAAGTCTGTGTCAGGCTTCTTCACATTGGTCCTGTACCCCTTCTCAAAGTCCTTTGGTAGAATTACATACCTGTTCTTGCGCACCGCATGCATACCCGCTTCTTGACAAATTGCTGTTATCTGTGTACCCATTCCCAACCACAAACAACACAAATAAATTACTATTCTCAATGATGTGGACAAAAAGAGCATTTACAGTAAATTTGTAATATTTGTCCCATCAGTCACAGTCACAGTCACAGTCACAGTCAAAAGCAATACAACAAGTTTTGTCCTGTTGTATGTAACAAGAAGTTACCTCAGCAGCACTGATTTTGTCGGGTCGAGAAACATAATCTTCCAAGTCAACTTCATCACTCAGATTCATTTTAGCAGTGCAAACCTACAAAAAAGTCTCCATCTTGTAATGAATAATGCATTGATAAGAAAACACATGTAACTTTTGTTTTTTAATACCTGAAAAACAAGCCTCTTTTGTCGTCTATCTGGCAAAGGGAACTCGATCTTTCGGTCAAGTCTTCCCGGACGAAGAAGTGCAGGGTCCAAAGTATCCGCTCTGTTAGTTGCCATTATCACCTTCACATTCACTGTTTGGTCAAACCCATCCATCTGCACACACACACACACAAAAATTTAGCTTTTCTGAGGTTATTTTTTATGACAAGGATGGGAAGGGTGTTTTCGTCTTTTGCATAGACGACCTTTTTAGACAGGACGAATGATTGAAGTTTTTTTGTTCGATTGATGGTAGTGTCAGTCCAGTGCATGTCAAGCACAGTACAAGTACAGGTATAACTAACTGTGTTGTCATGTCATGTCTTGTTGTGGGGCCCATTTGAAAGGGTTAATTAAGTATTTATGTTGACCTGATTTAAAAGTTCCATGAGAATTCTCTGGACTTCTCTATCAGCTCCAGTCTGAGCATCAAATCTAGCAGTAGCTATTGCATCAACTTCATCGATAAATATAATTGCAGGTGCGTTTTCTTTAGCAAGGCGAAACACATCACGAACCATCCTTGGGCCCTACATCATTTTATCGAATAAATAATAACTTATTTACATGTTTTAATAAATTCGCAAATATGTGTAAAACGACCAAAAAGGGCGTCTTACTGTAATATATGTTTATTTGTTTTTTTTACATATAGTAACTTTCTTTATCATTTATGATTATATTTTGACAAACATTTGTCTATTCCATGATTTGTTAACACTCAAGGTAAACATTAATTGGAAATTTTTCATCAAGTGATAAAAGAAAAAGATAGCAATAATCTAACATGTTCTTGTTATTGCTAGCAAGTTCTTTGTGTTCCTTGTTTAAGATGTGATAACAAGTTCTGTAATAATAAATTATTTTAAAATGTTCTTTGCAACAAATTGAGATAATGGAAAAGATTCTTTCTTCAATGAACACTCACATGAAATTTTATCACAAATTACATATTTGAATCAATAATGCAACATATTATGTGGGTTTAATATTGATAAAACCATTTTCAAGGGGAATTAACAAATAGGAACAGATGATCATTAGGAGTAAAAAGTAAATATGTTTAGAGCTCTAACAAGGAATTTCAATAATGAGAAAGTCGCTTATCAAAAATTCCTTATTTAAGTAAATAAGTGCTTTTAATTTTTCCTATCCAAACACTTAAAAGTGCTTAATCGCAGTGCCAAAACCACAATAAACTAATAAGCACTTTATATAAGCAATTTCAAACACCCCCTAAGTGTGCTTAAAAGTTTTTTGGTGCTTAAATTCATAGTACATGTCACTAACATAAGTTTAAAGATATTAAAATTTGTTATGCACTACTTTAAGTCAATTTATTGCTGATGAAGTAATATTTTATCAAAATAAAAGATGCATTTGAAACAAGAGTTCATACAAGCAAAATGAAAGCATACCTCTCCCAAATACTTCTGGACAAATTCTGAGCCAACTACTCTGATAAAGGCTGCTGTAGTGTGATTTGCCACAGCTTTTGCAAGCATGGTTTTACCAGTGCCAGGTGGACCATAGAGCAAAACGCCACGTGGAGGGTCTATTCCTATCTGTTTGTACAATTCATGATGAGTCAAAGGCAATTCAACTGCTTCACGTATTTCCTGCTTTTGAATGTCACAGCCTCCAATATCCTGGAAATATTCCAGAAGCAATGAGTGTCATTAGATTCAATGGAACCACAAAGATTTTGAAAATCCAATACATACAGAAAACATTTTCCCCCCTGATTGGGTAATCTTGATGTTTGAACTTTGAAATTAAAACTTTTAGCCTCTTTCCTTTTAAATTGGCCATAAAATGCCATATTACATTGTGTGAGTTATGCTAAATCTGATATTTTGATGTTTGGTGACATGTGTATGCTAGACAAGTGCTTCATAAACAAGGGCACATCAATCGTAAATAGTAACTAAGTGCACTTGGGCTCTCTATACTACACAGCACCCAACATGGTGAAAGTTGTTCTAATGTAGCAGCCTATAATATAAGATTAGACTCTAAGTTGATATGTTTTAATTTGTGTACAAGATACAATCCAAAGGAGTGCCCACCAGAAATATAAAGATGAGGAGACATGTAGATGATTCTTGGTTTTTGAGTTGAGGAACAATATGTTATCCTGGAACACTAAAGCAATGCAATTCACCATGTTATTAGTTATTATCTGGTTAAGTGATAAATAGGAGTCGACCTTCAGTTTCTAGTACTAGACGTGTAACCACAATCCATAATCCTTTCTATTGGTGATGGATTATGTTTGTCTATACTCCTATAAACTAAGAGGATGTTTTTTTTCTAAAACAATTTAGGGTTACCCAGATCCACATCTTACTATCATAACATATCAATACTTTTGGAACACGGACTAAGGTTCTAGGAATTGTGTGTCACCAAACCCCTGGGAGACCAGAACCCTAAGTTAACGTTCATTCCCCCAAACCCTAAAACATATACTCAAAAATTAAAATTCTAGGAAGATATTACTCACGCTATATGTGACATCTGGTTTCTCAGACTGGCTAAGAAGCGAAATACTCGAGTCAGCCTCCGGTGGCAACACATCAACTAGAGCATTAGAATGGCGGTGCAAAGCGACGGAAGCAGAGGGTTTCAATAGCTCACGATTGATGGTACTCAAAATTCTAACATAGTAATTAGAGCCAGTAGTGGAGCCGACGATTCCGTTATTCTGATCTATCATCTCCATGAACTGCCCAATCACGAGCGGCACCGATTGGATCCGCTTTACCTCCTCTTGCGACCTCAGCAGTTCGCGCTTGAGGTTTTTCTGCTCATCTTTGACATATTCTTCTTGGATTTCGATGAACTCGATTTGGCGCTCTAGGGATTTGAGGCGAGTGTAGAGATCGTCTTCGGAGTCGGCGAGAACGGTGTCGATGGTGGAATAGGGCGTGGGGAGGGTTGGTGGTGGTGACAATGATGTTGGTTTAGGGTCGAGAACCATCGTTGCTGCCATTGTTGCTCGGCGGTGGGGGAAGATTGAGAGGATTGAACAGGGAAGACGTGAATTTCAGAATATCAACGATTTCTTGAGGAGTACTTCACCGGTGTTGGAAACGGTGGAAGAAACGCTTATTCTTTTTTTCTTCTAATATATTTCAAAATTAGTTTTACGTAGGAGATTATTTTTTTTCTACGATGAAATAGCAATAACTTGTAGATTTAAAAAAATACAAAATAAATAAAAATTTTATTTCGATGAAATAATCAATTTTCTAATATATATATATATATATATATATATATATATATATATATATATATATATATATATATATATAGCAAGATGTTACTTGATTGTATTTTTGTGGATGATGATATCACATTCTTTTTGAAGATATCCGAGTGAAAAGGAATTTTGGTGATATATTTCATGTTCTGTCTCATTTGATAAATCATTTTTTGAATGTGGCTATACAAGTCATATTATCTTTCATATATTATGGTTGGAACATTCCTATTAAAAGTTATACAATAATTTTTACGAATGTGTTGAGTTAAATTTCTTAACCAAATACATTCACGACTTGCATGATAAATTGCTATAATCTCTGCATGGTTAGAATAAGCAGCAACTAAAGTTATTTTTTAATAGAATGTCAAGAAATTTTCTTACCTCCATAAGTGAATAAATAACTTGTTTGAGATCGATCTTTGTGTAGATCAGATAAATATACAGCATATACATAACCAATTAACTTCATATTTGATGAATTTAATTAGTATAAATTTATATCCGTTGTACCTCAAAGATACCAAAGAATGTGTTTGACTCCATTTCAGTGTCCTATTGTTAGACAATAACTATATCTTGCTAATAAATTTACAACAAAAGGTATATGAGGTCTTCTATTATTAGTAAGATACATTAGTGCACCAATAATACTATGATATGGTACTTCGAAACCAAGATGTTTTTCATGTTTTTCATAAGGCCGCAATTGGTCATTTTTGGCATCCAAGTGTCTTACCACCATCGAGTTATTCAATGGATGTGAGTTAGCCATGTAAAAACCTCTTAAGCACATTTTATAGATAATTGGATTAATATACAAAAACTCATTTTTTTTAGTGTGCTCAATTTGAAGACCCAAACAAATTTCGTTTTACAAAGATCTTTCATTTCAAAATTTTCTTTCAAAAAAGAAGTAACTTTTTCCAACTCTTCAAGAGTTCCAATAATGTTCAAATCATTTACATAAGCAACAATTATGACAAATTTGGATCCGCATCTTTTTATGAATACACATGGGCTTATAGGATCATTTTGGTAGCCCTCTTTCAACATAAATGTACTTAAACAATAGAATCACATATGGCGAGATTGTTTCAATCCATACAGAGATTTATTTAATTTTATTAGATATACTTCTCGAAAAATAGAAGTTTGTGCTTTTGGCACCTTAAACCCATCTGGGATTTTCATATGAATGTCATTCTCATGTGATTCATATAAATATGTGGTAACTACATCCATTAGAGGCATCTCCAGTTTTGCATGTGTTGCTAGACTTAATAGAGTACATAATGTACTTGCATCAACCAAAGGAGTGTACGTTTCTTCATAATCAATTTTTGGCATTTGGGTAAAATCTTGTGTAACGAGTCTTGCTTTATATCTCACAACTTAATTGTTATCGTTTCTTTTAAGCATATATACTCATTTGTGTCCCACTAGTTTTACTCCATTTAGTGTATGGGATACAGGTCCAAAAACTTTTCGTTGAGTAATATAAATTAGGCATAGCAGAGAACTAACCCAAAGATAATGTCTAACACATACAAGCACATTTATACAATTAATAAGGCATGAAGAAAACAAAGATAACATACCCGCGATAGCTTTTGATTAAACTCTGGTCTCCCTCGACTGACACTGAAATGCTCGGCTCCTCGCTGCTGGTGCTCCTACCCTACCATCACAAACCGTCAGTAATCCTCAAAATAACTGGAGCAGGCGCACTTACTACTCCACCCCTCAACATCGAACAATCAGCCTACTTGTGGCCCACCTGGTTGTAGTGAAAACACATCGGAACCGATCCACAAAGGCAATGCCTACTAAAATGATCCATCTGACCACAACTGAGACATCCTCGACCTGTCTCCCGACATCCTCCCTCATGGTTCCTCCCAAACTTGGTACAACAGTCCCGACCCTGATAGTCTACCAAACGTGAATCCTGAGTAAAGGGCCTATTCGCCTAGCCCACTACAATCTAAATCTGCTCCGACATCCTCTTACCGCGGTACTCTAACTCGATCTCCTGCTCTCGGGCTCTAGCAATCATATCATTCAGGGTCTTGCACCCTGAAAAACTCATAAAATCCCTAATATCATTCCTTGACATGCCATGATACCTTACCTTCTTCATCTCCTCATATGATGCATACTGTGAAACCAACAAAGCCATCTCCCGAAACTTGGTAGTAATCTCTGACACGGTCTCATTCGTCTAACGAAGGTCCTGAAACTCCCTTGCCAACTGTTGTACCTCAATAGTTGGTGCAAACTCGGCCCTAACCGGGTCAAAAACTCATCCCAAGTCATCATCTCCAAGGCTTCGCCTCCCAAAGCGAAGTCTACCTCTTCCCCACCAATCTCGAGCTTTGTCTTTCAGAAGACAGGAAGCAAATCTCACCTTCAACCCCTCGGGGCAGAAACTCAGTTGGAAAGCGTTCACCATATCCGCTAACCATCTCTTACTAGCAACGAGGTCCTTCTCCCCAAAGAACTTGGGAGTTCCACAAGCACGAAACTCTCGGAAGGAAAGAGTGCGAGTTCCCACAATAGTCATGATTTTAGTACGGAACGCGCCCAGTCGCTCATCCAGAATCTCCATAATCCCCCTCTTTGACCATCCCGAAGATCACATGAGTCTGCTCCATAATACCGCATGTAATATCCAACGAGATGAACTCCCACATCCGCTCTTTAATCGGCTCAGTGCCAGCACCTGATCCCGAAACAGATCCTCCGCCACGAGTGCTCATCACCATATTGAAAAGCAACCATATAATAATCAGAACATACCTAAGAGTCCTCATCCACATGCTTCTTGGATTCTTCATGATTCCCTTCGATTCGAGTATGGATCATGTACTTTCAGTAGTACGGGCCTAATACTACCCTCCACACCTATCCATACTTTCCTCAAGCTTTATCCCCGAATCCTCCAAGTCACCTTCTCAAATTGGTACTCCGAGTACTTGCTAATCAACGCAACCAAACCCACTAATGCACTTCCTAGGCTCTCCTAGGTTCCGACCTAACCCTGCCATCAGTTGTTGAAGAACTCCAACTAATATCAGCTAACTACTTCATGAATATAATCACGTGCCATAAAGCTTAGATAATCCTTCGAGTAATAGACTCAACCCTACAACGATTAGACTCAAAATGATAACTGCATAGTAGAGTCAAATCCATCACTCTGAGATTATCTAAGCTTTGCAACATGTGACTTGACATATTCACTTAATAGTTAAATCACATCACTAAGAGTTCCATAAAGCACAAAGCAAGTAGTATTCGTGCAGTAACACTCCAAGCCATAGAACAAACAAAGAACCTCCAAAGCTCACTTATTACAACCCATGCTAGGAACTTCCACTCTCACTATCGGTTGCCTTATGCATGAAAATTATACACAATACATGATCAAATAGATTGTCAAATAAAAGACTCCACCCTAGGACCACAACCAAACTAGGAACAAGAAATAAGGCCAAATAAATCATTCGAGAGCTATATGATCCTAACCGTATACAATTTTTAAAGCATACACTTAGCAATTACCGATACCAATACATATTCCCAATCTAGCATAACATCCAATGCTTCCTAGGCTACAAGGCATCAAATATCATACCAATCTATCATGCAATTACTGAAAGTATCCCTATCCTTACCCTAGCATGCAAACATTCATATCATATAACATATCAACATGTATGGGTATTCTGGGAATCACTTACTTAAGCTCGGTAGATTGCACGCATCACACCCCCTTTTTCTGTTAAACAAATATTTTTATAAATTCTATTTCTTTTAAAAGGTTACCAACTCCTTAGTTTGAGTTCAGTCACTCTGAAGAGTGTGCCCGAATCCCTCAAACCAAGGCTCTAATACAACCTTGAAACGTCCCAAAAATTATATGGTAAAAATTTCATTTTTAATTCAACCAAAAACACCAATTATCTTTTTCCAAAAATTCAATAATATATCACAATAAAACAGTTATCAGAGTACAATCCCAAAATCATCAAGTTGCGGAAACATAGGTGGATCCGCTGCGATCAAGTTGGGCCTTTACTTTTCGAACCAGAAGTACCTAAAACCATAATCATAGAAACTGTAAGCACAAACCTTAGTTATCTCCCTCCCTCCCCCCCCCCCCCCCCCCCCCTCAATATACCACATACCATACATATCAACATATAATGGGCCCCACTCGGAACAAATCTGTCAGTCATCAGGCCCCGTTTGACATCAAGCCCCACCCGATATACATATAAACACATAAACACATGCAAGAATCACAAAGATAAATATCATACAATATAATCATCAAGCCCCGCCCGATATACATATTAGATATCATACATGCAAGAGTCAAGCAGACAACTAGCATCCTAATCATAATAAACTATGGGACGACATTGGTGCCTTTGACCTGCCAACACAGTGAGGAAACTCACCTCAATCCAAGATAATCGAACACACGAGTTGCTGCTACCGGAATCCTCACACGGAATATAATCAAATTATCCCTAATCAATAGTTAAGATAAATTCCCAAAATCCAAGGCCCAAACAATATTTTGTCTTCCTAAAAGGGTAAAAGACCATTTTACCCTTCCCATAACTGGTCCAAGAACTCATGGCCCAACTCCTAAAAGGCCCAAGGCCCAAAATGAGTTTCTCGGGAGTACGCCCCACGTACTGAACTTGTTACACCCTG